CCGGCCTCCCGGGAACTCAGAGCCCTGATCACTCACAAACACACGAGGAATTTTGGCCATCGCGGCAGCTGGCAGTGGACACGTGGATGCCCAGCTAACCCTCTTCCCTCATTCACTTGTTCATTCTTTCCATGCATTCCTTCACTCAGGAAACATGCCCCAGCCGGCTGTAATATTTTAGCCTCTGAGCTTCCATTTGAGAGGGTCACCGAGGAGCTCCGCGACTTCTCCCAACCACTACAGCGTGTGTCCCCCCAGCCCCAGAGCCCCGCCTGGCTGCTCCGGCTCTGCGTCCATCTTCACACAGCCGTGCACTGTCTGGGAGACACACAAAGTCACATGCTAAGTGTCACCCCGTCCTACTGTACACAGCAACTGCCTTTCCTTAAGCCCCTAAAATCGAGTTGAATCTGTCCACTGTCACTACCTCTACCCTACTTGGGCATCCTCATTTAAAATCAATATTTTAAGTGTGTGCTTAAGTGGTATCAATAGCAATTAGAGAGGGGAATTCTGATTCCACCCCAGATGTAGTTAATTGTTGCAGCATTGATCTCCTCGACCCTGTTCCTTTCTCCAAATTAAACCTCCATTACAGAGAGGAGATGAAGGGCACCCTCTCCCCTCCTGCAACAATAAATTTAATATTGAAGGCACTGGAAAAAATGGCAGTTGTTGCAGAAGCCATCCAAAAAGGTTTTTTTTTTTCCTCCCTTCCTGGGAGTAATTAAAAGATGCTTTTCTTGACTAATGATTCTCTGGTTTAGGAATGGGAAGTCAATACTGCTTCACCGCCGTCAGCTTCGATTGATCACAATGCTGTTCGAGTTTGAACGGCAGTTCTCAGGGCAGCTGAGAATCACTGGAACCAATTATGAGCCATCCGAAGCTGCCCTAATCAGGGGCACAGGGACGACCAGCAGAAGGAAAACGAACAGCCAGCTGGTCAGAGGCGTCTATTTTCCTAAGTCACCTGCAGGTCTGGGTGGCACCAACGTGTGGTGGCTTCGGGGAACTGGTTGTATTTTGGAGAAGGATTTGCTGTGTTCCACTTCCCCATGGTCCTGAATCTGTGTGTGCATGCGTGTGTGTGTGTGTTTGGGGGCAGGAACGGCACATTTCTAATTATATTTCACTGTCAGAATGAATCTTCTGAAAGAGATGGAATGGACTGAGCTTTTTGAGAAAACAGCTGGGTCCCTTTTTCAAAGAATCATACTGGATATATTGCGCTTGGCTTTTCCTTGGATAGGAGTAAGAATTCATTAAAATATTTCTTTTTAGTATTACCTTAGGGCCACATTAAAAGAACCCTCCAGCTGTTTGTATTAACAGCTACAGGCTCTGCAGAGAGGCCAAAGGCGGGAGGGGGCATCTTTCCTTGTCTTAGAGAGGCAGGGTCCATACCAGACATCCATTCTTACAGCGCAGACTCAATTCCACATGGAAATTCTAGCCCAAACTCCTCTGAGTTTTTCATTTTTCTAAATTTATTTTTTTCAACATTTAACTACATTAGTAAATGCACACCCCAGCTAGTCTAGTTACTGTCAACATAGATGTTATAGGGCCACTGACCATGTTTTCTATGCTGTACTTGCATCCCTGTAACTAATTTATTATGATTGAGATTTTGTGCGTCTTTCCCCTCTTCACCTCTTTCACCCACTCACCCCAATCCCTCCCCCATGGTAACCACCAGACCCTTCTCAGGGTCTGTGAGTCTATTTCTGTTTTGTTTATTTGTTTCTAGATTCTACAAATAAGTGAAATCATATGGTATTTGTCTTTTTCCACCTGGCTTATTTCACTGAGCATAATACCCTCTAGGTCCACCTATGTTGACACAAATGGCAAAGATTTCTTTCTTTTTATGGCTGAATAATATCCATTATGTGTATGTACCACATCTTTATCCATTCATCTACTGATGGACACTTAGGTTGCTTCCATATCTTGGCTATTGTAAATAATGTGGCAATAAACATAGGGGTGCACATATCTTTTTGAATAAGGGATTTTGTTTTCTTTGGATATACATCCAGAAGTGGAATTGCTGGGTCATATAGTTCTATTTTTAGTTTTTTAAGGAACTTCCATACTGCTTCCCATCATGGCTGCACCAATTGACATTCCCACCAACAGTGTGGAGGGTTCCCCTTCCTCCACATCCTCGCCAACACGTGTTACTCCTTGTCTTTTGGATGGTGGCTGTTCTGACTGGTGTGAGGTGATGTCTCACTGTCGTTTGGATTTTGCATTTCCCTGATGCTTAGTGATGTGGAGCATCTTTCCTGAGTTTTTCACTTCTGTTTGAGAAAAACTGCAGGAGGTGGTAGAGGCAATGGGTACTGGAATTTTTATACTGGTATGCTGAGGTTTTTAAAAATTTTTGACAGTGTATTGTAGGCTTTGCATATTGCCCGCCAGGCCAGCCTTCCAACTCGACCCCTGCCTCATCTCCATCCCTTCTAACCATGCTGCTGATCGCCTTGAGGCCTCTTGGAAACAGGTGGCTCATATGTATGAACACTTAAACCGACCTGGTAACCCACCCTCTGCCCACCTCCAGAGTTGCTGCTGTAATACACCCCTGGCTCAAAGGTTTTCCCAGGCCTTTGTGCTTGGTGTGGGCTGGCCTATCCCCACTCCTCCTCATCTAAACGAGGGTCCGGGCCCACTGGGGGGTAACTCACTGATCTCCATACTTCTCCCCTGGGCCCTCGGCTTCCTACTGGGCTTTGGCAAGGCCATGGCTATATTCCAGCACCCCCCTACCCCTGCCCACTTCCCAGGCCTGGAAATCACTCTATGTTTCAAAGTGTCACTCAGATGCCATTTCTCCAGTGAAACTTCTGGGGAGCAGAGTAGCTGTAAGAATCCCTCCCCGCTATGAATTCTAACGGGGTCCTGGCATCCTCGGCTGGCCCCGAGAACATTCACCATCACTGCAGAGTTACAATCATTACTGACCACTTCTTTTCCAGGAGAAAGCTCAGTGAATATTTGCAGAATTTAATTAAAAATAAAACTCTCTGGGAGGATTACTAAAGGCACAAAGAAACACTGAGTTCTCGTGTTTATGAATGGAATTTAGAAATGGAGAGAATTTAGAAAGGCCAGAGGTCCCTTTGGAAACCCCACATAACCACATGAGCATCCCCACTGCCTCAGGGGAGGCGCAGCTCAGTATGGCTCCTTAGGAAGGTGGCCAAAGAGAAGGGCGGCTTCCACTGCAGCCAGTCCATTTGTGAGGAAGGAGGCTTTGCAATGTCTCTGAGACACTGAGATCTGATGTGTGTGAGGCCACAGAGCAGAGGAAGTTACACACTTCAAGCTCCGTTCAAATGTGCAAGTTAGAACTACGAGCTACTACACAGAGTCTCCCCTTACCAATGAAGATGAAATTAACATAAAATATTTTCCAGTTTAAATGCTAACCTACACCTTCATTTCTAATTATCCCAAATGGTTTCTAATTATGGAAAAACAAACTTCTGATTCACGATCTTGAAAATGGTGTGTGTGTACACACACATACTCCTGTTACACATACGCAGTAAAATGCATAAAAGCTAATTTTTTCCAACTTATTTCAATGTTTTCTGTGTTCATACATTAAACCCAATCCAATTTCCAATCATTTTTCATTTTCAGACCTAAATATCCTTCAAGGAGACAATATCTATGAAAAAACAGATATCAAGATGAATTAATCTTTTAAGAACAAGCCTAAGTGAATGACCCAGGTGATTTCTATGTTGGTGTTAGATCGAGATAAAACATTTCACAAGTGTGTCATTTCTTCAGTCTGTAAGAAAGTCGCCACGTGTATATCACACAATATAACTCATACATAAAGAGCTTGCACAGCAGACCGAGACTACTTTAAACAAATACGTTTTGCACACCTTCCTTGCCCCCCTGCCCCCTCCACACAGGGCACCTAATCTGAACAGCGGAGTTAACAGCACACCAGATTCATTCTCTCAAGTGAACCGAAGGTGGCACCACAAATTCATTTTTCAGTGTTAATGAAATAAAGTCCATTGACTGCACACTGTTATTGCGGAGGGGTGGAAGCTAATTTTTTCCCCCCACATGGGGCCCAACTGCAGACGGCTACTTGAACTTCCGTGTTGTCTGAAACCCAGCAAAACAAATCAGTGAAATTTAAAAAGTGCTCGTGAGAGGACACCTCTTCTCCCCCTCTTCACATGCCCAAGAAGCAAAGACTGAAAGTGGACCCCACACCCCTCCTCCAGATGTGGGTGATGCCACCCGACAGCCTCCTCCACGGGCCACCGCAGACACACCACGGCCCACTCTGCCTCCGTGAAAGAGGCCTCCTCTGAAGACATGCCATTTTATCACCTCTTAGGTACATTAAATATGTATGTGTACTCAAAAACGGTTTATAATAGCTGTAAATGAAAAATGAGAGACTAAATGGCCTAAAAATAAATGCGTTTTTTACACTGGGTTAACAATTAACGATAATGAGGAGTCACCCATACGTTATGCCATACTTGGTTGATTAAATGTTACAAATGTATTTTAGAAAATAAAATACATTTTGCTCCATCAAGTCACTTAGTGTGGGTGTGAGAGGAGCGGAACCAATGGAATAGATGCTTATCAAAGATATAAGAATAACAAAATTAAAGCAATCAAAACTTCATAATTAGTGTTAACAGCACAGCTTAGGCCTATTAGAAATGTATTAATTAGAGTGATATATTCATAAGGTTCGAAGCTGAACACACTTTTAAGAGGGGGAGAAGAATCCCCAAGGTGTAAAAACAAACATAAAAAATTAAAGAGCTTGAATTATCCATGTCTGCTGAAAAGCAATTTTAAATATAGATGTTTCTGTGCTGGGCTGGTCAGCATATGCACACAGGTTACCAGGGCAGCTTCAAGAGTGGCTATCACTGAGGTCACTTATAGCTGTCTGTTGGCACAAAGCCCCGTAGCCATACACCTTCCCATGCCCCTACCTGGTGGAGTCCAGAGACGGCTTCGTCCGCCCCTGGCTGCTCTCCTCCCAGACACTGTTGGCCAGCTCGTTCCCAATGGATGACATCACCTTGATGAGCTCGATGGGCCAGTCGTCCAGGTCCAGGGATCGGACTCGAGAAAGGTGGGTGCCGAGGTTCCGGTGGATCCCTGAGCACTCGATGCACATGAGGGCTCCCAAGTTCAAGCTGGCCCAGTTAGGATCTGCAGGAAGAACAGGGAGCTGCACACATCAGACCACCGTCACTCCCGCCAACTGCCCTCGGCGCCTCGGGGACTCATGGGCTGACCCATTAGACTGCACTTCCACAGACCCTCCCTGGAGTCACATGGTTTGAGGACAGACCCCGGCCAGTACTCGACGCCATCTCGGCTATCTTGCAAGATTTGACCTGTTGGTGGTAACTTCCAAACATCTGGCTCCAGCCAAAGCCCTGGAATTTCCCAAACAATGAACAGCTACAAGCATTGGTTTGGACGGAAAGATGCACTTTCCAACACAGGGCAACACACCTGCGAGACTGGGGCTCGGGGTTTCAGGCCACCACAATAAAGTGAGGATTGCAATAAGGCAAGTCAAATACATTTTTTCGTTTCCCAGTGCATACAGAAATTATGTCCACACTATACTTAGTCTATTTAGAGCACAACAGCACTGTGTCTTAAAAAACAATGCATATACCTTAATTAGAAAATACTTTATTGCTAAAAAGTGTTAACCATCACCTGAGTTTTCCATGAGTCATAATATTGATCACAGAACACCATAACAATATAATAATGAAAAAGCTGGAAATATTGTGAGAATTACCAAAATGTGACACAGAGACATGAATGTTGGAGAAATGCTAGAAAAACTGCACTGGCAGATCTGTTCAATGCGGGGTCCCCATAACCCTACGATTTGTAAAAAATGCAGTATCTGCAAAGCACATGCCTATACTTCAACAGCAATGCTCTGAGAGGGCAGAATGCACAGAACACATGTGACCGGAGTGACGGCTGTTGACAGAGGCCAGGGCAGGTGGCTCCAAGAGCTTCCCTGAGCTGCCATGGCCCTTGGAGCCGCCTCCAGCCAGGGGCATGTCCAAATTTTCACTCATTGCTTGCAAATTTCAAAGATGGAAGAGAGGTGTACCATGGTGACAAAGGACGGCGTTCAGTGCTCTTACCTAAGGGTAACCACTGAAGCGACAACCAGCTCTTCATTCTTCACTGTTGGCAAGATGCGGCAGGTCCTTGGCCTAGGTTATTTGTGGCTCCACCCTGACCCCCAGAAAGAATGGCAGTATCCATTAGGCTGCGTTAATGCACCAAGGACGACAGACGAGCTCCGAGAGCAGCACGGGGACCTGGGAGCTGGCTCAGTCCCTGTCTGAAACTGGCTGACATCATCTGACGACTGCAAACGCAGGCCCAGGCCTGGCATCATGCTAGAATCTACAGTTGATTCCTGAAGATGGGGCTGACCTTGACGGTCAATGGATTTCACCACTGACAGAAGAAGCAAGGCTTAAATCCTTCAGGAATAATCAATATTTACTCCAGGTATACTTGAAGAGTCAACAGAAAAACAGGTAGCTGACATTATATTTATATTTTAAATCATTCTATAAATGATAAATGACCCAGGAATAGCCTTAATGCTGATTCATCAGAAATCAGCCAGCCATTTATTTCAAATCCACTGCCTACTCAGGAAGGCGGTGAAGGAGACTACAGGGAGAGCCAAGAGGAGAGAGGTCTGTGGCCTCAGGGACGTTCTGGTTGGGTAGAGGAAACATGTGCTCCAAATAGTAACTACAGCAGTAACAGTAAACAGAACAAGGAAATGCAGACTAATGCTGCAGAGCACAGTCAAAAGGACAAATGCACAGGGAAGGAAGCGGCCAGCCACAGCAGGTACAGGGGGGATGGGCGGCCTGGGCCTCGCAGGGTGGTCAGGAAGAGGGTGGCTTGGTGAGCAGTTCACAGAAGACACCCCCTCCGCTCTGCTTTGCAGCCCAGCTTCTACACTGGCCGCCACAGCACCTTCCTGCTGGAACGGGGCAGTCAAGGCCGCCAGCCACCAGCACGGGCAAAACCGCCAAGACCCTGCCTCGCCGTCATTTCCCTGGACCTCGACACTCCTGCTCACGGCACTGCCTTCTGCTGCCCTTTGGCCAGTTCTCCCCTGGATTCCTCTGCTGCCCCATGTCGATTGCTTTCCCAGCCTTTCCTCCTGCAGCCTTGTCTGTTCCGATTCTGTGTCCTCCAGGCAGACCTGGCCCAGCCATGGCTTTGGTTACCACCCACAGGCTGACCCCCCACAGCTCTCTGCTGCCCCGGGGGTGGGCACAGATGCGTTCCCCTTGTGTCACTCATGCATTTCCATTAGGATGTTCTGCAGGTACCTCCCAACACACGGAGTCTTCTGCAAGGGGCAGTTTTATCCCAGCAATGGCACAGGTATTTGCCATTATTCAATCTGGGGTCCTGGGCATCGGCCTGATGCCCCATCATTCCCCTGGTCACTTCCCAAGTCCTCAGTCTCCCCATGCTCAGCCTCTTCCTCTGCCCCCACCACTCACACCCTGGTCCATGCCACAGTCAAGGCGGGGGTGCGGCGGCCTCAACTCCTTCCCTGCAGTCACGCTCTGCACATCGGCCAGGGGTCCACGCGGATGCCCTACTCAAAACCCATCTGTGGCTGCCATTTGCCATTCAAATCGAGTCTAAAAGCCATCAAAATGCCACCAAGATCGGGAGCAGCCCCTTTCTGCCCTGTCTCTCAGGAACACTGGAGCTCCCTGGCCCCGGGCATATCCCTCTGCCTGCCAACTCCCCAGTCTGTGGGCGGGCCTCAGCCGCGAGGCACCCCCAAGTCCCCAGTAGCTGCGGCCTCTACCCCAGGTGAGAACAACTCTTAGCAAGTGTCAGCATGCAAACGGGCTGCCCAGTGACACAGCTGAAGACCCCTTGGGGTGCTTCAGGGCATCTCTGCACCGGGCTGTGACCCTCAGGCCTGGGGCTGAGTCCCAGCCTCCGAACACGACCCTAAGGCCCTGCATCGTCTCCATCTCCCTTGGGCTCTGGGCCCCTCCCTTTGCAGGGCAGTGACATCCTCTTCTCCCCGTGGCCTCCGCACCCTCCAGGCCCGTGCACATGCCATCCGTTATGCAAGCATGTGGCTTCCTGCCCTTGCAAGTGTCTCCCCCTCAGTTTCCTCACATTAGAAATGAGACCGGTAATGCGACCCTCACACGTGCTGGGAGGCACTGGACCAGGGGCTGCACGCGGCGAGCGTAATGTGAGGTGGGAGCTCTGCTGATGTTTATTCCTTCGCACTGTCAACCACTGTTCACGGGCCAGGTTCTGGGCACATGGTGAACAAGCTAGAGAAAACGCCGCTGACAGAAATGTGGGGCTCATACTCTGGAGGGCAGACGGGCCGAGGACAAACAACCACGTCGGATGGATCTGGCGAGTATGTGCCGGAAGAAAACTCCGCCGGGAAGCAGGAGGTGTGCGTGTGTGATTTAGAGCCAGTGGTCAGGGCCGGCTTCTCCTCGGGGACATTTGGGCAGAGACCTAAGCATAGCGGGATGATAATTATATCATTTGCAGTTTCTTTTTGTGCCTGGAGGAAAAGCGAGCAGAAGTGGTAGGAGGCTGCGTGTGCTCCTACTGGGCCTTCTGGTGGTGGTTCTGGTTCTTTCTGTGCGCAGGCCTGGGGCCCACAAAGAGAAGACAGACGGGGTCCCTGACATCAAGCGGGACTCAGGAGAGAAAGACACTTGATACAACATGGCAGGAGGGGTCCGACCCAGTGACTTCCACTCAGGGCTTCGGAACCACCAGGAGGGAGACACCAGCGCCGACCATCCACCAGGAGGGCTTGGTGGACGCGGGGCTTTGGAGCAGGGGAAGGGCTAGGCCGCCTCTAGCGTGTGTCCGCGGAGGGCAGGGCCTGCTGGTGAGCGCCACACGAGGCCGCCAAAGGCCCCCGAGGGTGGGCTTTCCTTGACATGTTCCGAATGGAGGGCTGGCAGTAGGAGCCCCACGAAGGCTCCCACTGCCCCATGGGACTGGACCGCTTTACACAGCTCTCCCTGCGGACATGGCCCTTGGAGCCGCCTCCAGCCAGGGGCATGTCCAAATTTTCACTCATTGCTTGCAAATTTCAAAGATGGAAGAGAGGTGTACCATGGTGACAAAGGACGGCGTTCAGTGCTCTTACCTAAGGGTAACCACTGAAGCGACAACCAGCTCTTAATTCTTCACTGTTGGCAAGATGCGGCAGGTCCTTGGCCTAGGTTATTTGTGGCTCCACCCTGACCCCCAGAAAGAATGGCAGTATCCATTAGGCTGCGTTAATGCACCAAGGACGACAGACGAGCTCCGAGAGCAGCACGGGGACCTGGGAGCTGGCTCAGTCCCTGTCTGAAACTGGCTGACATCATCTGACGACTGCAAACGCAGGCCCAGGCCTGGCATCATGCTAGAATCTACAGTTGATTACTGAAGATGGGGCTGACCTTGACGGTCAATGGATTTCACCACTGACAGAAGAAGCAAGGCTTAAATCCTTCAGGAATAATCAATATTTACTCCAGGTATACTTGAAGAGTCAACAGAAAAACAGGTAGCTGACATTATATTTATATTTTAAATCATTCTATAAATGATAAATGACCCAGGAATAGCCTTAATGCTGATTCATCAGAAATCAGCCAGCCATTTATTTCAAATCCACTGCCTACTCAGGAAGGCGGTGAAGGAGACTACAGGGAGAGCCAAGAGGAGAGAGGTCTGTGGCCTCAGGGACGTTCTGGTTGGGTAGAGGAAACATGTGCTCCAAATAGTAACTACAGCAGTAACAGTAAACAGAACAAGGAAATGCAGACTAACGCTGCAGAGCACAGTCAAAAGGACAAATGCACAGGGAAGGAAGCAGCCAGCCACAGCAGGTACAGGGGGGATGGGCGGCCTGGGCCTCGCAGGGTGGTCAGGAAGAGGGTGGCTTGGTGAGCAGTTCACAGAAGACACCCCCTCCGCTCTGCTTTGCAGCCCAGCTTCTACACTGGCCGCCACAGCACCTTCCTGCTGGAACGGGGCAGTCAAGGCCGCCAGCCACCAGCACGGGCAAAACCGCCAAGACCCTGCCTCGCCGTCATTTCCCTGGACCTCGACACTCCTGCTCACGGCACTGCCTTCTGCTGCCC